TCAAAACAAGATCAAGGCAAGATTTTCAGCAGTCAACTTTAGGAAAAAATAATATTTGAGGTTTTTAAACGATGAAGAGAAAAGCAGTAGCAAAAAAAACAGGAGTTTTAGTTTGTCAAAATGAGCTGCATACTAACAAAAACACTTTTTTCTTTTCATCATCATCATCATCATCTTTAGACCTTTTTATCAACGAGAACGGCGACCGAGAGCTGGACTACACGCTAAGTGGTAATAAAAAAAAATAATTTTTTTAATTAAACAACTCCTTTACACAAACTCCCACCCAAAAATCCTCCTCCTCCTCCTCCTCCTCCTCCTCCTCTTCACCACCTAGACTTCTCACCGGAAACGGGCCTGATGCAGCCCGTCTTCACCTACTTTGGCCGCCGCCGTCAGGTGGAGAAGATGGCCGGCGTGACGATTCACTGGACGAACAACGGCAGTCCACCGCCGGATGTCCCCTTCTGCGGGTACTCGGGCGAGGCCCGCCACTGCCAGGACACTGGTAAAAAAAATCAGACAAAACTCCTCTTTTTTAACCTCCTCTTCCAAACCTAAAGTCCACTCTTTTTCCTTTTTCACCACCACTACTAGAAATCCTGCCCATCTGGGCCATCGTCCTCATAAGCCTCCTGGTGGCCGCGCTCTTATCATCAGTGTCCGCGCTCTTCATCCTGCGCAAGATCCGCTCCGAGTCGGACCTCAACTCCAACTGGTGGAACATCGACTACAATGAGATCATCTTTCCGAACAGAGGCGGTGGCGGAGGGGCCAAGTCCTCGCTCTCTCAGCTGACCGCCACCACCGACGACCCGGGCCTGGGCACGGCGAGGACCAGGTCGGCCCTCACCTGCCGGACAATGTCGGCGGCCTCGCTGGGGCTGCAGTCGCTGGTGTCGGCCGCCGGGCAGTTTGACTCGGTCCTGGTGGGCCTCTATCGAGGCGTGAAGATCGCCTACAAGCCGCTGCTGGTCAAACGGCTGACGATGAGCCGGAAGATGCTGATGGAGTTTCGTCAGGTACTAACTTGCTGATAAACTCATAAAAAATTTTTTATCACGCACTTTTTAACTTCATAGATGCGCGACCTTCAACATGAAAATTTGTGCCGCTTTATCGGCGTCTGCCTCGACGAGGCCAACACCGCCCTGGTCACGGAGCTGATGGTGCGCGGGAGTTTGAGGTAATACCAAGCTCGTTGAGAAAGATAAAACATCAATACCTTATCAAAACAATCTTTATTTTCTCCCCTTTTTCTTATCAGAGACATCCTCGACGAGGGCAAGCTGCAGATTGACTGGACCTTCCGCTACAGCATGATCAGCGACATCATCGAGGGGATGATCTTCCTCCACTCGAGCGTCATCCAATATCACGGCCGCCTCAAGTCGACCAACTGCGTCGTCGACGGCCGCTTCATGGTCAAAATCTGCGACTACGGAACGCGAACGCTCCACAAGCAGGTCTCCAAGGAGCGAGACATCAACCCGCGGGCCTTCTTCTGGACCGCCCCGGAGCACCTTCGCTCCCCCGATCCGCTGAACCACGGCTCCAAGCCCGGCGACGTCTACTCCTTCGCCATCATCCTCAAGGAGATTATCACCCGTCTGCAACCGTATGATTCCCCCCAAAAAGAGGGGATAGTCCGAGAACCTCAGGAAATACTGGACCGCGTTCGCATGGGCATCATCCCGCCCTACCGGCCGGAAATCGTCTCGCCCGACTGCCCAAATAGCCTCATTAAGGTAGTGCAGGCCTGCTGGCAGGAGGACCCCGCCCTGCGACCGGAGTTCACCAAGGTGAAAGGGGCGATGCGGAAGATCAGCGAGGGCGTCAGCAGCAGCAACTTTCTGGACAATCTTCTCGCTCGAATGGAGCAGTACTCGGCGAATCTGGAGCGAATCGTCGAGGAGAAGACCGCCCAGATGGTCGAGGAGAAGGCCAAGGCGGAAGAGCTTCTTTATCAGATTCTCCCTAAATCAGTGGCAACCGAACTTAAAGTCGGCCGGTCAGTTCCGCCGGAGCTCTTCGAGTCGGCCACTGTTTTCGTATCGGACATTGTCCAGTTCACCGTCCTAGCCTCTATGAGCAGCCCCATGCAGGTGGTGGCCCTGCTCAATGACCTCTACTCGAACTTTGACTCGATCGTCGAAACCTACGACGCCCACAAGATTGAGACCATTGGGGACGCCTTCCTCGTCGCCTCGGGAGTTCCCATGCGAAATGGAAACATGCACGCAAAGGAGATCGCCATGCTCGCTTTTGAGATGCTGGACACGGTGGCGAAGTATAAGATTAAGCACCTGCCAAAGACGAAACTTCGCCTGCGAATTGGCCTGCACAGTGGACCGGTTTCCGCGGGCGTGGTCGGCCTGAAGATGCCCAAGTACCTGGTCTTTGGGGAGACGGTCAGTACGGCGCAGAAGATGGAGGCGAGTGGCGAGCCGATGCGGATTCACGTCTCAAAGACGTGCAAAGAGGTTCTGGACAGCTTTGGAATGTTTCAGTTCAGTGAACGTAGTGGCGAGGGAGTTGATGTTGGGGTAATTGAAATTTAAAAAAATTTGAAACGATTTTAAGGAGTTTAACTGGAGTTTATCTGCTTTTTACAGGGCAAAGTTTCCATTAAAACCTACTGGCTGGAGGCGTTGGTCGAGGCAAAGCCTCAACAACAGCAACAGCTGCTACGTCGGAAGTAAAAAGCATGTTCAGGAAGAAAGTGTTCTTTTAAATGCTTTATCCTTTTTTAATAATTTTTTAACCTTTTTTATACTCTTTTAGGCAAAGCATAAAACGGTCTTTCACCTTGGCAGTGGACAGTGTGATGCTGGAGCGACGGCAAAAGCAGCAGCTGTTCATAGAGCAGTTTACTCGAATGCACAGTTTCGATGTCTGGTAGAAACAATTTATAAGGTATAACTCCCAAGTACTAATAGTGCCGTTCTGAAGTTATAAGTTGTTACTGTTTTGTTGTATAGTAAAAGCTTTTTGGAAAAAAAACTGTAAAAATTGTAAACTTATAAATAATAAAGCACAAAAAAACTAGCAAAACATTCATCTCCGTACTTTTTTCGAGTCTAAAATGAGTGCATTCATTTTTTCGATTTATTTTTTCATTCCTACCAAAAGCTTATTGTTAAAAATGAACGACAATTTCTGAAGCAGCCTAACTTTTTTCATCTGTAAACGCATTTTTATCTTACCCTAGGCTTACTAGGCCTCTCTACTTTGCCTACGTCGTCTTCTCGTCTTCTTGCAGCAGCAGCAGCAGCAGCAGCAGCAACATTAGGTTTAGAAAAAGATAAAGTTTTAATTTTAGATTTTCGAAAGGAAAGAGAAGAGAGCCCAGCTTCTGAATCAAGAATAGTAAAACTTTAAAACAAAACAGAATATTCGGCAATTTAAAAGTTTGCCCTTTCTAACTTTGCCCCATATTCTCACTGATCCAGTCCGTGTAGTGGGCGACATTGGTGTAGACGTTGATGGCGCCCTTCGGGCAGAACATGACGCCGAAGGAGACGATTCCGACCTGCCTCACATCCGATCCACCACTGCCCAGCACCAGCGGCCCACCGCTGTCACCCTAAAAAACAAAATTAAAATCAAAAGGAATTAAAACCTATTTCAACAAAATCCTCATAAAAATGACTCACATTACACGCCGACTTCCCATCCGTCTGCGTGCAGATCATCCCCGGACTCTTCCTCAGGCCCATCTCCTCCACAAACTCCCGACACTGATCCTCATCGAGCGAACGCAGCGAAGCCTTCTGCAGATTTTGAGCCGGCCGAGGGCGCATTCCATTGGTCAGGCCAAAGCCGAAGAGCGTCAAATTGGTGCCCGCCTCGAGGGTTTCATTGCGGTTCAGCGAAATGATGGCGACATTGTCCGCCGGCCTGACGGGAGACTTCAGCTTAAATAGGGCCAAATCATTGGCAATCGTCTGCATGCTAAAGTTCTGGTGGACGGTAATGTTGGCCACCTCCAGGGCGGGATAGGGCGAGCTGAGGCGGCTGTTGCTGCCGTAGCGAATTCGATAGCGAATCGACTCTGAGTAGCAGTGACCGGCGCTGAGAACAGTGTCCGGGGCGATGAAGGAACCGCCACAGAGAAAGGACAGCTTCTCCTTCAGCCAGGGAAGCGGAAGCCAGGGTTTGGTGACGCGGAACAGCTGTGCCTNTGCATGCTAAAGTTCTGGTGGACGGTAATGTTGGCCACCTCCAGGGCGGGATAGGGCGAGCTGAGGCGGCTGTTGCTGCCGTAGCGAATTCGATAGCGAATCGACTCTGAGTAGCAGTGACCGGCGCTGAGAACAGTGTCCGGGGCGATGAAGGAACCGCCACAGAGAAAGGACAGCTTCTCCTTCAGCCAGGGAAGCGGAAGCCAGGGTTTGGTGACGCGGAACAGCTGTGCCTGAAAGGGCGCCTCCCCCTCAGAGGCGTCCTGGCCGCCGACGATGCGAGTTGGCTGGTCATTGTTAGCTGAGGATTCCAAGGCTTCTAGAACCGAGGATGAGGAGGATGGAAGTTCAGAGAGGCGGTGCCGTTTCAGGTAGGCCTGGAAGGCTCGGTCGCGAATGTCGGCAATTGTTTGGAAGTTTTCAGGAGTCGTCTGCAAGTGCTGACGCTCAATTTGTGAAGGCAGCAGGAAAGTTTTGCCTTCAACAAAAAAAGAAGTCGGAGTTGCCAGAGCAAGGCAGCAGGGGAGAAGAAGTTTAGGAAGTAACATTTTCAATTTTAATCCTCTTTTTTAGCTTTGAAAAATGTAAGCTGCTGATTTAGGGGATGAGATTTTGTGTGTTTGACTTGGAGTTTTTATATCAAAAATATCGTTTTTAGCTCTTTTTGTTTTATGACTTGTAGTGGCGGTGGTGGTGGTCATAAAAGAACGGAAAGGTCCCTAAAAGTTGGTGGTGCACAATCTTTGTAGGACAAGGGAAATCTTTCTTTCTTTCCTCTTTTGTGCCCTAGTTTTGCTTGCTTTCTCATTCTAAAGTTTTTTGGGAAACGTTTTGAATTAGGTCAACAGGTGACTGGTGGCTAGAATTTGCCGTCCATCATAAACAACCAACCAACCAAACAANTCTCATTCTAAAGTTTTTTGGGAAACGTTTTGAATTAGGTCAACAGGTGACTGGTGGCTAGAATTTGTCGTCCATCATAAACAACCAACCAACCAACCAAACAAGTGCAACAAAGCTTTTGACCTACTTTGTACAAACTTTTGAAAAACTCTTGTAATTAAACCGATTTGCTTTCTTTACAGCGCACAGTTGGAAGAGTACAAAGAGTGAAAGAACGAAAGAAGGAAACAAAACATATGCAGCAGCAACACAAAATGGACACAGAAAATTGAGAAAATGGAAAATGAGGAGGAGGAGGTGACGACGGAACAAAACTGCCTTTTCTCTCTGAATTATCAGCAGAAAATAATCGCAGACTTTAGTAAGTGAAATGATCAAAAATAATAAAAATTCACAGTATTGACCTTGAAAACTTGCTAACTACTACTAGTTGTTATTGATATCATCATACACTGAAAAAGAAGAAGAAGAAGTGTTGCCACTGACCTGAGGATAGTGGCCCGAGCAGCTAGTCGTGATGATAATAAAAGATGATGATGGTGAAGATGATGTTGAAGCCTTCCTAGGCGCCCAGTTTGGCCTTTTTGTTGGCGGTGTGGGAGGCGGTGGCCGTGCGGGCGTACCTCACGGGCCTAGGCGCCAGCGATTCAAAGGCCTCAAAGGACGGCTTCACCTCCATTTCCACTTCCATTTCCTCCTCCTCCGGTTGAGGCACTAGCTCCACCTGCTCCACCATCTGCAGGTCGAGGATGGGCGCCGCTGAATTCTGCAGCGGCTGCTGCTGCTTCGAGCCAATCTCCTTGATGACCGCCCGCGTCACGCCGTCCTCCATCTGCTCCACCTGGACCACCTCGTAGTCGATGCCCTCCTCGAGGATGGCCATCACCGCGGCGGAGCTCTCTCCCTCCTGCTCCGCTTCAGCCGCCACTTGAACCTCCGCCTCCTCCTCTTCCNGATGGGCGCCGCTGAATTCTGCAGCGGCTGCTGCTGCTTCGAGCCAATCTCCTTGATGACCGCCCGCGTCACGCCGTCCTCCATCTGCTCCACCTGGACCACCTCGTAGTCGATGCCCTCCTCGAGGATGGCCATCACCGCCGTGGAGTTCTNCTTCCTCCTCCTCGCTTCTAGGATTTCCCTTGATTTCCAGCGTCGAAGTTGAGATCAGCGCAGCGGCGCAGGCATTCGCCGCCTCCTCCTCGAGGTTGAGCGGCAGCTTTCGCTTCACTCCCTGGGTTTTAGTGGTCGAGGTCGTCGCCGAAAGTGTCGTCTTCTTCCTCCTCTTCGCCGCCTTCGCCTTGCCGCCCTTGGCCGCCGCCGCAGCCTTTTCCTCCGCTTCTTTTTGAGCCTTGGCCGCCGCCTCCTTCAACTGCTGTTCCTTCTTGTCGCGCAGCCACTGCACCGCCCGCTTCTTCAACGGCCCCTTCGGCAGCTCGGCGCCACTTTCCTGCCCAGAGGCATTTTCAGTCTTTTCCCCTGAAGAGGAGGCGGCGGCGGCGGCGGCGGCGGCGAGGACGTAGGGGAGAAAGTCCCGCTTCAGCGTCGCCGGCTCGAGAATCCGCCGGCGGCAGTGTCGCTCCAGAAAGGGGCGCATCGTCCCCAGCCGGTCCACGGGAATGTCATGGTCAGTCAGCCACTGCACCAGCTCAAAGTGGAAAGTGGTCGAGTCCATGGGCACGTACTCGGCGACGAGCTGGGCGCTGCGGCGGTGGGCGCGCGACTCGAGATGGCGGCGAATGTTGCTGCTCTTTCGCGTCAGCAGCTCCGCCTCGCAGATGTTGCAGTACAGCTGGATGGGAGCTTTGATGGCGCCTGAAGCAGAGGAGGAGGTTGTTGGGCCATCCTTAGCTCCAACGCCATCACCTCCATCACCTCCATTATTTCCCATATTTCCGCCGCCGCCACCTCTCAGCTCCAGACAGTGGACGTTGTTGGCTCGCAGATTAGCGACAATTCGCACCAGGTCCGTGTCGAGCGCCTCGGCGGTGGCCTTCGCCCGCAGGCGGTGGTACTTGCTGCGCAGATGGAGGCGCAGCTTGTGCTTCCGGTTGCCCATGCTGGTCACCAGGCGGCCGCAGGTGGCGCAGCGGTAGTAGACCTTGGTGTTGTTGAAGGTGATCGGAGCGGCGGCGGCGGCGAGAGGAGCGGCCTCGGGGTCGTCGGTGCTGTTTGGATCAGTAGCGGGTTTCGGTTTGGGTGGCTCCGATTTGATGAAGACCAGCTCGCTCAGGTCCTCCTCGCGGCCGCCGCCGCCGCCATTGACAAGGCCG